GCGCATATCTATCCCTGATTTTGAACTAACGGACTAGAGGGAAAAAAGCTATTCACCAGCACCCATCGCTAACTGTTGAGATGCTCTTGTCTGATCAAATAGTGGGACTTAATTACCATTCTTATAGCGCTTCCGCTGTCCAAAAGTGCAAAGCGCGCTTCTGCGTTAACAATACGCGAACCATGAACACTCATATTCATAACTCTACACGCTAACCACCAAAACTACGATCAGAATACGAAGTGATGTACATGAAACAATATACCACCCCACTTCCTCACCAAGGTGAGTACGAATCGCAAACCACCCTAAATTGTCATTACTCATAAGATAGATAAATTTGAATTTGGGTAGGGTGAATTTATATATAGAGGTGATAATAATCTTGATAATGAGATAGTTTCAGCCCGATATGCCCAGAAATACATAGAAAGTGATCGTAGTACAAAAAGAATACAAAAGGCGTACTAACCAATGGTATTACAAGAAATATAAACCTTGAATTGGGGAAAAGGGGTAGCATGAAGGTATCCACCAAAATTTAAGTTTAATTTATCTGTTTTCAAAGGAGTACGGAAAAACACCTCATGAAAAGTACAAAGTAGTAGTAGCGATTTAAGGTGGTTTGCAATTTTATTCTCATCTTAGGAGGGTTTCGCGGTTTTTATGGACTTCCATCGCTACTTATAACAGTACCGTTAGTCTGGAAAGCCTTAAGTACATTAGTACCTGTACCAATACCATTATTCTGGAAAGCCTGTAACAATACCATTAGCTTGGAAAGCCTTTAGTACCTGTAACAATACAGTCAGTTTGGAAAGGCTTTAGTATCTTAGTACCTGTAACAATACCGTTAATCTGCAAAGCCTTTAGTATCTAGGTACCTGTAACAATACCATTAGTATGGAAAGAGTTTGGTATCTTAGTATCTGTGATAGTATCGTTAATCTGGAACGCCTTTAATACTTAAGTAAATGTAAAAATACCATTAATTTGGAGAGCCTGTAACAGTACCGTTAGTTTGGACGCAGTGGATCGTATTATATTGAAATTAAAGCATGACAATGAATCTTAGGAATTCGGATGGAATGGATAAGTTTAAACAATTTCTAGACCTTCATGACGCGAAATATGAGTGGAGTGTGAGGAAGCCGACTAGGATGATAAAGCATCACGCGCTTAATGTCAGAGGGAAGTCTGGTTAAAATGTCGTTGCTACGGTGACCGTTATTAGCGAGCAATATTCAGGTGGGTCTGTCGTGTTAGAAGTTAAACAACTTTCAGGATTATTCAGTTAAGTGCTTCATGTAACAGACAATACTTATCTGAAGCTCATTTTTGCAAGTCTAATGGATTTGAGGAAGTTTCTTGCGGTTTAAATAAGGTACTTTGAAAAGATCCTATTTAGTGTTAATAATGACGACAGCGCCACCCTTTTCTGCAGGTTAATCTTATTATGGAACTATTTCAAGGTTAAATTCAATTGAACAGTAGGTTTTTGTAGTTTGTCCTCTGGTTGGTCAGTGGTAAGTTTACGGACTTATAATGCTAAAATCCGGGGTTAGATTCCCGCGATGGACAAAGCTCAAATAGCCCATTGTGTAGCTTTGCACTGCAAAAATAGAAAAAAAGAAACGAAAACAAAAAACACAAACAATAGCCTTTTATTTAATTCAGGTTTTAACAAGAATAATTTGTGGAAAAAGTTTTATTAACCACGTGACATTTTCAAATAATATTGAACTCATTGAAAAAACGTTCAATTCCCTTGCTATAAAAAGCAGCTTAATATATGCCATACATATTAGGATACAGGGAATGAGATGAACCAGTATGGTTTACAAGTTAAAGTACAGATGCTATTGGATCGCAGGAGTGTTTCTTATGACTTGTAGTGATTAGATTAAAAGATACATAGAAAGTTTAGTAAATTATTTAGGCCAAAATATAATGATCAATATGAACTTCTGAATGAAAATAAAGTCGAGTTTGAGATAACACGTCAACCACAGTACCTTCTATGTCTAGCGCCGACGAGGTATTTCACAATAAGTACAAGGGCTCATAAGGCTGGTGGGGATACGGCAGGCACAGTAGTACATGAATAACTGCTATGGTGTGAACAGGATCAGGTTGGAGAAGTGTAATATGAGTGATTTACATAGCAGAATTAAGTTAAGGATTAATAACACAATATTATTTAATTTAACACGAATTATTTATAGTTATATAGATTTATTTACTAGTATTACATTTATTTTTTAGTTAGCATGGATTTCATGTGAAATAATTGTTTTTACTTAAAAGTTGTGTAATTTTATGTAGGAAATGGTATAATACTAATAATAAGAAAATAATCATGTTGATTTTCAACTTGTATTAATTATAAATATATATAATAAAGAGTACTTAATATTATACGTTTCTCATTCCAGTGTAAAGCAGATTACATACTCAAAATTGTGAAATATTTGTTGACAAAAAAGAAGAAAAAACAAACATTCATTAGAGTATGTTGCATTATCACAGTGCTATTTGTAACAGAACACTTGTGGTGATAAACTTTGACCTATGTTCTTGATGAGTGGACTCAGTAAGTCAGATAACATTGCAGTGTGCGGCGGTTCTTCAGTGTTTCTTCAGAGTTAACGTAGAAATAGAATATATATCTAAAATAAAGTTTAAACCAACAGTTTCAAAATACCACCAAATTTGTATTGATATGAGTTTCGACACTTTCTCGTCCAACGTTTGTTTTTATTGAACTAAGAGGACACGTGAAAGTTTCGAAACTTATATTCATATAAATTTGTTGTTCCGTTATTGAAGATTTAGGCTCTATTTCAGTTTACCTTACACGGTATTTTGTATGTACGTTCTACCATTCTTTTTATCACTTGGTATTGAGTTCTATCGGTTTTGGGGAATTGATTTCTGGGACTGATAGATTGGGTTTCATATTTATTTTTAGTATTTTAAACGGCTTGCCTGCTGAATGATCAACAAGAATAAATTAATAGCATCAATGCTACACATTCTTGAAATGTTATATGAATATAAGTTTATTTTGGTGAGTAATAGACAACTCAAAACACCAAACATCCAAATACAGGATCTGAGGCAGCTTAATTAATAAAAATGAAGTTAACTGCATATGGTTGATTATCAATTTTAGCTTGATTTTTATAAAAAATTTTAGGCTTACTGGTTGGTTCCTAATAGTTCGTAGGCTTTTGTCGTTTCAACTTTAATGTTTAATTGATAGTTTTATCGAATACAAAAAACTCTTTTGGTTTTTGGTAGAAATTTCATACTAATAGGAAGAAATGCAAGTGAAAGTTCACAAGTACAAATACTAACATTTTAAGAAACCTGTGATGGTACATTGGCTCACATTATATTTATGTTACATATTATTGTACAGTAGCACGTAAGATTTAAAACTAACCATGTTAGGTATCAGTCATCAAAAGGACAACATGTTAATAGTTAAATATAGTCGACTTATTCTGAGATAACAGATACGACAATAAATTGCAACAAAGAAATTTAAAATAATTCAGTTTGCAAAGAGTCCATTAAAGCGAAATAGAGAAAATCAACTCATCTTACATTTAGAGAAATATTGATAACTAAATGATTTAGCTAACACTATTAGTTATTATTATGTTAAACTAAACGTTGAGGTCACAGGCCCCTTGTGACAGTTCCAAGTTGTTGTTTTTTAACTGTTATGGGCCAATGATGAAGGTATGTAGAGAACTGAATTTTACAACTGATAATTTATTTGACAGTTTTTAGATAATGTTTGGTAGTGTTCCCGAATGTATCAATACTTTTGTGAAACTAACAACAAACAAATATCACATCGAATTATTAAGATTTAGCAAATTCGAACGTTGACAAAGAAAATAATATTATGATTTGCGCAGGCCCTAAACTGAGATTGTCAAACGATTTGTTTCACCAGCTTGGATGACACATTCTTAAACCATTGTATTAGCCTAAGTAATCTTCCTTTTTTTTTAATTTGCGTGAGAATTTCCTCAATATTGTTATTGAGAGCTCAGTTTACTGGAAAATGAGGTCCAGATATTACATCACATTGAATAACCTTATGTTTTTTTGTTAAAATATCATTAATTTCTGTGTAATATGCATACGAGATTCTAGAAATAATTAGAGCGATTAATTGCAATATTAATGATGTTTTTCTACAAATTTGTTTGCTTGCCTCCTTTGTTACTCTAAATCTGCGAGCAATAAAGTCATGGACCCACATGGGTCACAAGCAATTTGGTGTATAAATAGTTTAGAAAATATGTTTAAAAAAGTCAGATGAACCCCACGTTCCCGCCAGTAATTATAGGGTTAATTTATACAGCGAAAAAATTAAAGTGGATTTGCCCGTTCAATGTCGATAAAGAGTAAACCAACTAATTACGTAAACGATCTTGTAGCTAAACACACAGAATTTCAACTTTAATATAACATTCCAGAAAGCCGTAGAGACTATGAAGTAAAAAGAGTTAGTGAACAAAACATTAATAACTATTACAAACTAACTTGTATTATTTTACTGAAACTCTAACAGTGTGACTTACAAAATTTCTACGGGTATAATGTTATTGCACTTAACCAGTTAAATTAGTTACACGTTTCAATACTAATAATTTACAAGTTAAAATATTTACACAATCTTATGTGGATATGCAGTAAAAGTTTCATAAAACTTCAAGTTTTGAAATTAATTAATTGCTTTTGTTTCTTTAGCTCTACTACTAGTACTTTGTCATTGGTGTTAAGTAGATAATAGTGTGTTATTAATCCTTACCATAATTATGAGCTATAAATGGCTCATATGAAATTGATAAAAATTACGCTTCACGAACTTAACCTATTATTATTGAAGGTTGTCGTTCAAGGTATAATATAAATAGCATCTCGACCACTATTTCATTCTGTTGTATCCAAGCTAGACTGGGCCAATGAACACTTACCCTATAAGGTCGTCTAAGGACGTGGAAATGTTGAGACTCCACAGGCCGGGTTTCAAACGTAACCTGTTTGGGCAAATATCTGAAGTGGACAAACAACCAGCGAACTCTACAGAACTTATAGATAAGACTCCAATCTCGTGCATGCTTGATTTTGATAAAGACCGGTTATTGGTTAACAAGTTGCTGTGGCAGAAATAAGAAAACAAGCGCCGCCTAACAGCAACATATATATTTAGAATGGGACTGGGCTCCGAGCGACATTATGCGCCAACTCGAAATGGATATTTAAAATTATATATATTAT